AAAAAATTCTGCGGTCATGGACAGTTTATTCTCCTATAACTAATAACCTGTACTGCTTCTGCTGTCATTTATTTGCTGTCACCAATAGTACTACTACAAAACAAACATTTATAATTGGATATCAGAAGTGGTGGAAACTAAATCCCAAAGTGGCCGACCACGAAACTTCAAGTTAACATCTGGAAAATTTTGAAAAGTGAAAAACTTTGAAAATGAAGTTAAAATTGCATGAAACAATAAATGACACAGCCTTGCAATTAATGGATACTTAAAAACAGAAGTGGAAGCATCTTTTATCTAGATTATTGAATATAACTTTGTTTCTGGCTAAACAAAACCTAGCATTTCCTGGACATGATGAAGGACAAGGCTCTTCAAATAAAGGCACTTTCTTAAAACTAGTCAAACTACTGTCAAAGTATGATGTACTGTTGAAAGAACACATCTTGAATTTGGAGCATGGTAAATCACTAAAATTATCATATTTGTTGCCAGATATACAAAATGAATTCATAAATGTTTTAGCAAACCACACAAAATTTAAGCTTGTCAATGAAATTAAATTGGCTAAATATTTTGGAATTATGTTTGATAGCACACCTGACATTTCACATATTGATCAAATGTCTGAAGTGATTCATTATGTGAAAATTGATAATAGAAAAGTACAAGTCAAAGAAGTATTCCTTCGATTTTTTTCTTTACAAGAAAAAAGCCACTGATTTAATTGATGAAATTCTTAAGAAGTTTGAAAATAATGGTTTAGATGTTATGATATATCGTTCCCAAGGTTATGATAATGCAGCTGTTATGAGCAGCATACATGGAGGAGTGCAAGCTATTAGTAAAGCAAAAAACAACAAAGTGATTTTTGTTGGATGTATAGATCACTCAATTAATTTATGTGGCCAACAATCATTTGTGCAAAATGCATCTTGTGTAACATTTTTTGTAACAGTAGAGACAATTTTTACATTTTTTTCTGTTTCCACTAGCTGCTGGGAAGTGCTTCTTAAACACAGCAAAGCATCTGTTAAAAGACTCTCAACAATGCATTGGAGTGCTCATTATGCTGCAGTGAAAGTAATGGCTGAAAATTTTGATGGCATTGTGGCTGCAATTGAGAAATTATGTGATCAACAAGAAAATTTAGACACCAGAGGTGCAGCACAGAACCTTATGCCTGCTGTGTGTGATTTCACATTTCTTTGTTATCTTTTCTTTTGGAATGATGTACTAAGGGAAATAAATTGTGTTCAGATTGCATTGCGAAGTAAAGGCTTAAGTGTTGATCAATTAGCTATAAAAATAGAGGCACTTTGTCTTTATATTGAAGAAAAAAGGAGTCATATTGTAGAAGAGGCAACAGATCTTGCTGTGAAAAAATGGAGGACTATGACATTCCAATAGAAAGATGAATTCGTCATAAAAAATGAATGGGAGGTGAGTTGGCTGCCAATGCAGTACTCACACTGAGAGCTGAACTTCAAAAGGATATGTTGAAATGTCTTGACCGATTCAGTATTGAACTCCATACTAGATCGAAGTCCATTCAAGGTGTAGCTTCATTGTTTGAGGTTGTCCAGACATATACTTTGCTTTTGGCAAACATTGAAGAGTTGAAATTAGCTGTATCAAAATTTATTGGTTTTTATGATAAGGTATCAGAAACAGATCTCCTCTTAGAGATACCAAGGTTGAGAAGACATTTAAAACCAGCCAATCTTACAGTTTCTGATTGGGTGTCTCTAGACTTCTTGAAATTCATTGTGGAATGGGATTTTACAGAATCTCTTCCAAACCTTATGGTTGCACTAAAGTTATTTCTGACAATTTGCATATCAGTTGCTTCGTGTGAGAGGAGTTTCAGCAAACTAAAATTAATTAAAAATTACTTGTGGGCAACACTGACCCAAATGAGACTTAACAATCTTGGCATATTAACAATAGAACACAAGTCAACAGAAAATATAAATTTTGAAGATGTGATTTCCAAGTTTGCAGCTGTTAAAGCTAGAAAGAAGAGCTTTTAAGTGTTTGTACATAATATGTATATGAGAGTATATTAATTCTACTCTCATTCCTTTTTTGCCAAACCCAACTTTCACTTACATACATCAATGTGAAAGAATGTTTAATAAAACTGTACTATTATCATCATAATATTGTAACTTGATAATTAATGACTCTTATTTGTATTAATTAAATAAAATCATACTTTACGTTTATCGGATTTTTATTAATTTTAACAGTTTTCATTCTTGGGGTGACAC